CTGATGTCCCATCAGAAACTTTGGTACTCCGCTCGGGGTGGCCGACTCGTCCTCGACAGACGATTTTTCGTACGATGTCTGAAGCTCACGTTCTATTATGAAGGATGTAAGCTACAGTAACAGCAACAATTTACAGCTAGCCGTGAGTAAGAACATAATCTGAATGAGTATCGTGGTGATTAAGAGTCAAGGTCGTCAACAAGCATGTTTGAATCAGAACTCCCCGGGCAATCATGCGAGGCTTCATCAGATGTTGGGTCGAGAGATGTCAGATGCGATGTGGAATCGGGGCAGGCTCTTTGCGCAGAGCGTCGGGAAGACTTGAAAAGGCCTGCAAACCGGTTGAGCTTGCTCTCGAACAGCGAGTCTGTCGTACTTTGATGCTGTCGTCCAATTCGGATAGTGTGTGCTCCGCTGCGTTTCTGGGTTCGATCTGCACCCATTGGCAGAGCAATACTGACATGAAAATGAGTGAATACTTGTCTGTCGTCGCGTTGCCTGACGCGTTGCGACGCGTTCAGTGTTTGAACTCCGGCCGGCTGTCATCCGGCATTGTCGGCACCACATCACACAGCGTGACTCGACCGACATTGTCTACCTCAACTTTGAGCAGTGTAACTCGCTATATTATGCTCTCAAAACAATTGAAAACACAGTATATTGGGACAGTCAAAGAATGAAGTCGAACTGTGCCGTGGAACGTGAGATATAGCAGGGTGGCCGATTCGACGATGTGGCCGAAGAGACGATCTCATATAGTAACGTAATGCAACGCCCTCACGCCGCGATCACGTCTGCTGCTGCAAGAGTCTCTTGCAGCAGACGTGCCGAAAGACGACTTGGTTGATGCACGTTAGCTCCATCATCTGCATATTCAGATGGCCCCATCTACGAGACCGACATACGAGGAGCGGTGGTTCCGCAACAGATTGCGCGCTATATTATTTGAAGGAGTACTCCAAGTATAAATGGCAGCTACGTAAAACCTATCTCACGGAGCGCTGAATGGTCTATAATGACCCAAGATCCGGTTATCGCTCTCTAGGACCGAGCTTGAGCGGTCATCTGAGCTGCTGATTGGTGCCTATACTTACCTTGATATACTAGATGTACCGGCTTCAATACCTCGATTCGCATGCTCAGGCCGGAAGAACAGGTAAGTGTCCATGCGAGTGACCGAGTGATAGGACATAACAAGACATAATCTGATCCCATGCATTATAAGTATCCCCCGAAGATGGGCAGGAGAACAACGCCCTGATCTTCTCGGGCTTCTTCATCACCGGGCGCATCGCACGCTCTCTGTTTCCGGCGCGAGCGCTTGTCATATTCTGGAGCTGGAAGTAACTTCGGCTTTCATTAGATTCGTGTTGAAGAAAATATCCTCTCTTGGCTCGCTCTCTCTACAATACGCGCCGCACGCTCGGCTAGCCAACGGACTGGACGAACTCGAGCATGTACGAAGAGCGGATTGTCAGTGTACGTGTAAGAGCTGCGGGAGAGCTTGACATTTTGGAGACGGTCTCGGAGAACGCCCTTTCCTGGATCGCGCGAGGGCAGACGGCTGGCGCGAGCCCTCGCCAGCGGAGAACGTGCCTACTCGAAGGGTCAGTACGACGACTCATTCACGGAGAGGAGAAGAAGGACGTACTGCACCCCAAAGCGAGCCATCGTGGGCCTTTCTCAGGTTGGTGAGCTGGGCCGTGCTTGTAACCGAGCGGGACGTAGACCATGCCGTGGTGCGCGAGACTCGACATGGACGCTATGGCAAAACGGCGTCGACACAGGCGAGGAGACGAGAAAAGAGTAGTTAGGCCCGCTCACCGATCGCGGTCGACTTCTGTCCTCCCTCCACCATATCCGGTGGTGGAGACAAACACGCCCGCGAAACTGGGCGGGGAATTTGCCGTACCGGGTTGAAATACCGAATAGACCCGTGTGCGGCTGGGAGAAGACGGTATAGGTGCGTGGGGGAAGCTCGTGCATCTTCGCGAGATCATCGTCTAAGGGTATCTCGCTGACTTGAGAAGCGCAAGTCTGTTACGCTTCCGATAAATTATTCCGAGAACCCGATCCTGAGGTTATAGGGCTATGGGCTGGTCAAAAAGGCGAGGGGTCGTCATGGTGGAGCGGTGTTCAGCCGCACGCATCTGATGACTTCTCCCCGCACCACCTGCACGACGTGCTTGAAAGAGAGCTCCTTCCGTGAACTGCGTAGGATAGTTGCCATATTGAACCGCACTGCCGCATAAGAACGAGTGACAGCTGTAGAGGTCCCTCGGGCCCAGAAGGAGATAGTTGACTTGGGATGCGGATATCGCTCTGACGGCAGAAGATCATGTCCCGCATCGGTTTGCTGCTGAAGTATACCAGCGTGTCTTCGGGGGAATTATTCTTGGACGAATCGGCCGAGGAATTGCTTAGTACTGAAGTCCGCGATGCATATGAGGCAATCGCTTGGCTGTCCAAGGAGGAAAATTTGGCACCAAGAAGAGAGGTCTGGACCCGCGCGTGCATATAGGTTGTACATTCCATCGGGAAGATCAGAAGCTTAGATGTGGGGGCATAATCTTATAGTTAACTTCGAGGAGTGATGGTGGCGCTTACCCAGCTTGGAATGTGCGATATGCAACTATGGTATGCGTGGATACGGCATCAAGGCGGTGTTACTGATATAAAGTAAACTGGGTCAGCCGATGGTGCTTCAGCGAGCTCCTACCCTCTCATGTCTCTGATCAAAGTGCTTAATGCAACGCAAGCTGTCGCTGTCGCAAACGTGGCACTCAGTTTCAACGTCAAGCACGTAGCGCCACTTCTTCTGTTGGAAACCTTTGCATTTGGTTCGACTTGCAATGACAAACCCAAGCGTAACTAAGCATGTGTCCTAGGTGCATCATCTGCAGCGCTTCTCCTGTGGAGCTACCGGGCGCTGTGAGTAGACTGTCGGGTGTCTCAGTAATACTGAGCTAATTTCCTTCGCATATCTGTTTCTCTACGTGACAGATTTATGGTAACGGAACATGCTTCTACGAAAATCAAGAGAATAGCTCTTCCTGGAACATATCTCCTCCTCGCCATACATTGGTCCTTGCTATTGCAGGATTTTTGCAATATTCTCAACGGAACGTGAGGATTACATCACTGTAGATACCACTCACGATTTCACGACGGGAATAGAGCAATGAATCTGCCTCTTTCCACTCTTGCCATCGAGATATCCACCTCAACATTACATACGTACGACGAAGCCGCAGAATTAGCACTGGAAAGACTTAATTCGCAATATTCCGTTGCACGATACGTACTGCCACTCGTAGCCGAAACTGCCTTCTTTGGTGAGTCGATATGGATTCGTTGACCGTGAGACGTTCTGATAAACGTATAGGGTCACTAACAGCACTTCTTACCGTTCTATGCTATGTGGCCTTGCAGTGGGTCACGAAAATCTCTTTACTGTAATTCCGTGATCAAATAATCCTGTTCACTCAGACAGCGCAAGAATCAGCCAGACGCCGCATTGAACAAGTTCGTTATTCGCGCAGTAATATGTGTGATGTACCTAGTCTCCCTGGTGCATTGGTGTATCGACCTCCTTGCATGTGTCTCAGCCACTGATTTCGCGATATATTGGGGGGGTGGGAGCTCAAACATGGTCTACAAAGCTCACCCTCTCGACACAATCTTGGTTAACCAAACTTACATCAGCGATGCTCTGATCTATGCTACCGTGTGTTCATTGCAGATGGAATAGTCATCTCTTGTCATTCACGTTGCATTTAGATCTTGCTCAGCGACGGGGTCGTACTGTGGCGCATGTGTGTGCTGTGGGAAATGCGTCCCATTCTCTTATGGATCTCGGGAGCAGCACTGGCAGCTACCACTGGTGCGTACTCACGCTGTACGCTTACCTCCTTCACTTTGACGCAGTCCTTTGGTTCTTAGGATTTTCTATAGCCAACACCGTGGCTATAGCTCAACAGCAGTGGTGGGGAGTACTTATAGCCGTTGATGGAGTCCTGCCGACGTTCAGCTCAACCGTTTTTGGATTTTTGGCAATGGTGGTATCCCTTATGTCCAATTGTTTTTCCACTGCTGCTGTCGCTTATAAAGCTTGGTGAGGCAAAAACAAAAAATGGTGTTGCCACCAGCCTTTGTTAAGCTACACATGTATACAGGCGGCATCGCAAGCTTCTCAAGGTGCAGCTACAGAGTAACTCGTGCAGAACATTGGTCGAGAGGGTCATGAGCATCCTTATGGAATCTGGGGCAGTTTATTGCTGCATGTGGGTAAGCACATGCTTCACTGAAATATGCCCCTTTTTGATCACCTCCGTTGTCTCGCAGATACTCTGGATCATTGCCAGCTACTTCCCGGTCGGAGATACCAGCCCTCAAATTAAAATCGGTGAGGACCAGCTGCTCAATGATTATCTGAACGTCATAATGGCCCAGCTTACGGTAATGTCTTATTCCTGCTCCGGTGACGTTATTCGCATGTGAGGCTGAGTACGCTTCCATGCCAGTCTATCTACCCGCTACTGGTCCTGCTCCTCGTGGCTTTCGAGCGTACACATTGCGATCGCGGCTTTTCGCTCGACGAGTGTGGTACCGGAGAGCTCAGATTTTCTCCGCCAGTCATCCTTGATCTTGTTCGTGGCGGTGACCACGAGGAGAACTTTCAAGCGGCATACCCAGACTCGGCTCACTCGGGACCAAACATCGACGAAAAGGCGTCAGACTCGGTATGATTATCACGTCGGCGTATCCGTACTTGATGTTTTTCGCTTCCTCGCTTTGAAATGACATGTACGTAGGACTTTGTTACCTGAGATATCGCTGGATCGGCTTTATGTACGCGTATATATATACTGGACAAGCATTGGGTGTACGTCTTACACTTGGGTCTCGGCGAACGGTCCACGCAACTTCATCGAGCGAGTCGTTTCGTGATCTTACGTCTGGTAGCAGCGGCCGATCGACTCCGAGCACAGGTTCGCAGAAGAAAGCCGGTCTGTGTCCATCACGATCGTAGCTTAGCTGCAGCAGAGGTCGGCGTACGAGAGCTTGACCAGCTCCGGCGATTCTCCCTCGAAACCTCTCCGTCCGATAGTACGCGTCGTGGTGCTCGTCGGCCTAGGAGACGTCGACGAGAGCTCCTGGCGCCATGGCGACGATGGTTGCACTCCTGCGAGAGCACGGGCGGTGACGGATCGAGTAAGGCAACGAGCATCTGCGCCATCGCTCGTGTACGGTATGCGAGTGAATAATGATGCGCGTCTTCTCCGGTTCCCTTGATCGCGAGGGCTCGAGTTTTCGTCGTGTCGTGCGAGATGACCGATACGGCGACAGCGCACTCGGAAGACGTCCACCCAGGCACAGTGACAAGAATGGCCCCGACCTTTGCCAGCTTTGCCGTTCGAAATATTCAGAGCAGTGAAGGGTCGACAAAAAAAGGGGCGCGACGTTTTCTTCCGACTCGGAACGACAAGCCAAACGAGGGAGCGCGCGTCCATTGCGCGAACCACTCGTCTTCGCGCTCTCTAGAGTCCTGCCTGGGGAGAAAAAAGATTCGCGCGACACGTTCGCTGTCGGGAAAGCAGACACGACGGCCCGGAATGGGCGCGACGCGTAACTGCCTGCGCCTGCGCATGCGGGCGATCGTGAGCAGAATTGCCGTTACCCATCGCGGAACGAACACCGAGAACGTCGCTCGTCTGCTTATCCCAGACGCACCAAACACCGCCTGGAAATATTTCCTCTCATCAAAGCGATCAAACCGACGTCGTCCTTCACGTAAACGACCCCACGTCGAATACGTGGCGGACCGTGGAACGCCCTGTAGCCAGCCCTGCTCCTTGCGGATGCAGATTGCACTGGCTCGGGTCGGAGAATCGCGCGATGGTCGACAAGCGTCGCAGCTTCTGGATTAAGGGATCAATGAAGGTAGATACGGTGAATCGTTCATAGGCCGAAAGCCTGAGAGACGGTGGGAACGCGTGGGTATTTTGTGAACTGCTTCGGGAGATGGGCGATTCTTCGTTTCGGCCTCGAGGGCGCGGGGAGAAGAGCGAGAAGAACGAGGAGGACGCGAGCGCACCACATCGCGCCGGAATGGTTGCATGGCCGGTATGTATTCCGTACGAATATACGGTCGATGTGGCTTCAGGAGTATAGTCGACGTTCAAGGTTCTGCCTACTTACTGGGTCTTAGCACGAGTCGCATCAGAAATCCGATAGTGGCATAGCATACCCCGTGCTCATCCGCGTGGCCATGTGCCATCCTCGTGCAGTCCCTAACGCGTAAGATGAGTCTGAATCAAGGCTCAGCTCATCCCCGTAAAGCAACTTACGCGAGAGCCGATACTGCTCAGTCAACGACCAAGCATTGTTGATCTTCTTGAAGGCTGCATTACCCAATCGACCTCCTCGTGCTCCAAGGATACGAGCAACAAGACGGCTTACAAGGTCTGACGATGCCCTCGTAATCGTCCTGACGTTATCGCGATCACGCTTGGTCATCGACAGGGGCGGGCTCGGGCGGGAACGACGAGAACGGCGGAGCCAATTGCGGTAGCCGCCACATGTCCCACGATCCATATAAAGTATGTTCCTCGCAGGACACCCGACGTTCGTGACCATTCCGTTTTACGCACTCGCGAACCAACGCTGGGTCAGCTCCAACCGTCCACCTTGCTCCCCACGCGCCCTTCTTCTTCTCGCCCTTCCCCCCTCCGCACCACAAAAAGGGGACGCAAACCTAAGGAACGCCTCCGTGATTGCGTATAAAAGCGCACCCAGGACACGATGAACTGCCTCCCGTGCTTTCCCAGCAAAAAGCAACAGCGCAACTTCGACGAGACCGCCGCCGCAGACAAGAAACCCGCGTCGACCACCGTCGCCGACAAAGCGCCGCAGATCCCGGAATCGACCGTCGCAGCCTCCACCGTCCCAGCTAGCGCCTCCGCTCCGCCCGCCGAGCCCGCACCTGCACCTGCACCCGCTACCACCGAAGCTCCTACCGCCACCGCAGAGACCAAGATGGCCCCCAAGGTCGCCATTGTCATCTACTCCATGTACGGCCACATCGCCAAACGTACGTCCTCCCACCCCTATCCATCTCCCTCGTATACCCCTATCCCCTCCGCGCTCGGCTGACCACCACCTTTTTCCCCCCTTTTACCCAGTCGCCGAAGGCGTGAAAGGCGGCGTCGAGTCCGCGGGCGGCGCCGCGACGATCTACCAGGTCGCCGAGACGCTCCCGGCCGAGGTGCTCGCCAAGATGTACGCGCCGCCCAAGCCCGCCTATCCCGTCCTCGCCCCGGCCGACCTCGCCCAGTTCGACGCCTTCCTGTTCGGCATCCCCACCCGGTTCGGCAACTTCCCCGCCCAGTTCAAGGCGTTCTGGGACGCGACCGGCCAGCTGTGGCAGCAGGGCGCGCTCGCGGGCAAGTTCGCGGGCGTGTTCATCTCGACCGCCGGCCACGGCGGAGGACAGGAGGCGACCGCGATCGGTGAGTGATCCCCTATCACCTTTTTTCTTTGTTCTTTTTGTGCCGACGAAGGGAGCCCTGTGCTGACCGCCGAGTTTTTTTTTTTTTGTTGGATAGCGGCTATGTCCACCCTCGCGCACCACGGCATCGTCTACGTCCCGCTCGGTTACAAGCACTCCTTCGCGCAGCTCACCAACCTGAGCGAGGTCCACGGCGGCTCGCCCTGGGGCGCCGGTACGTCTCCTTCCTTCTCCTTCGAATATATGATTTGTTATGCTGACGCTTCGAGGATAGGCACGTTCTCCGCCGGCGACGGCTCGCGCCAGCCGTCCCCCCTCGAGCTCGAGATCGCAGCCATCCAGGGCAAGGCGTTCTACGAGACCGTCGCCAAGGTCAAGTTCTGAGCGTGCTCCAGCTCCATCCCGCACTTCTTCTTGAAACAATTTGTTCTGACGTACATACTCGAGTCCGTCCAGTCGAGTGTTGCGGGGCGTAGTGCAGAGAGATAGCCAAGAAGCGATCGTGGACCCCGTGGGCTCTCCGGACCCTGCCTTGTTGTTGTATCTATACCTTGCTGGAAATCGTAGTCTGATTGATCGTTTCCCCGACCGCGCTTGTCGAGGAGGAATGGCCGTATATGGAAATACCGGATCTCGGGCCGGCGTGTGGCCGGTGTGGCGAGTCACCAGGTCGGTATCCTGTTGACCTACTATCATGCCGACAGATCCTGGACACTTAAGCTTGTTTGCATGATTGTACACGCTCCGTCTACCCGTTCACCTTGATTATTTTTTTGTCTGATAGCACGGAGTCCTATTTGTAGTATACAATAAGAATTTGGATGTTCCGCGAGCTCTTGCTCTCATAAATCGAGGAGCGCGAGAGTGTGTCAGGAAATCAACAGTCCGCCAGATGCTGGACATGTTTCCCACGGCTCCCGCGCCTTCACCTCGACGACCAGCGACGACAATCGACTAGCTACGGCGCAACACACTGTTTACACACAAGATGTCGACATTACGACACTTTCTACATGATTTCCTGCCGACCTGGCGACAAATCCATGGGTCCCTGAGGCAATATAACCCTCATTACCCGGAGATTTGCTTGCTCAAGTCCAGGAGTGCTCCGGCCACCCCAAGCTCCTCATCTCCACCAAGCAGCCTTGGATCGATCACAGCATCAGCAATATC